CGGATATTCTCATACAAGTCTTTTTGTGGATATATAACTTCATTTCTCTTGGATAAATACCTGGGAGTGGAATTGCTAAGGTGGTTAGCTTTATACGAAACTTGGCCTGATAAGAAACTCTCAGATATCCTCCCAAAGTGGTCACAGGATCAGTTTTCAATATCTTAATTAAGTATAATCACAAACAACCAAATTTACTGAGTGTTTTTGATGGGCACCGAACATAGAGCTGTATTTAAGTACAGTATTTCATCGGATTCTTACACCCAGCCTACGGGGCAGATATTACTATTCTCATTTTACATATGCCATAATCAAGGCACAGAGAATGAAATCTCTGCCCAAGCCCTCACAGCTAGTCAGTGGCCGAGTGTGCATTTGGATCCAAGCAGGTGGGATTCCAGCTTCTGCCTCCTGCCTCCTAATATGTAGTAGTCAAAAAAGAAGTGGCTGGGTCTTTTCTTGGGAAATGAATTAATTTCCTAAGAATGAACATTTGTCATGGTAACCAGAAGATGCTATGTTCATCAATAAACATGATATAAATATAAATTCTCACCCATTATTTCGATGTGGTACCTATGGTGGACAGGGAGTTCCTTCAGTTATCTTCAAAGATACCCATCTCTCCAGCCCTGTGCAAATCCATCTAGCTGCTCTTTAGAGTAAGGGAAGGGTTAAACCTCAGAGTCGCTTCTGTGGGCCTGTTAATAAGAGCATGATGCCCCTCCTCTATAATTAAGAAAGGAGCCCAGGGCTTTACTGGGGAGGTATCCAAGCTGCAGTCAGGTGGGGAGATAGGAAGGCGTTTCCTCACATGGTTTTCCTAAGCTATTAGAGCTCAGTCTCAGATCCAGACTTGGCCTTGGAATATCTCTAGGGAATGTAAGGCAAAGAGGAAGACCAAGGGGAACACACCACTTCTTTTGGGCTGAAAGCCCACCTCTCATCTAGGACTCTGACATCCTAGCCTCCCTCTCTCATCTTTGAGAAGCTCACCAGAAGTTAAAAAAAAAAAAAGGGAAGGAAAGAAAGGAGCTATCCATTGGCACTGCTGTTGGTAGGGGTGGCTGGGAGTCTCTGAGTCTTCTGAAAATGGGTATTAAGTTTGGACTTCTCATTCTGGCTCCTAGGCCAGGGGGCATATGAGAAAGTCGGTAGATTATGTGGTGGTTGAGGTCCCAAGGCTTTTCCTCATTATTTTTAATGGTCTGGTAAATACCAAAGTAATTCCACTCTTTTCAGGTCGTGTCTTAGCTACTTCCAAATGGTGTAGTTGTCAGGATCAAATCCATACTCCTTAGGATGGAGAATGGGGACCCTGGACATCTGGGCCCAGCCTCTCTCCAGCCTCCTGGCCTGCCACTCTTCCCTGAGCACTGGGTTGAGAAATTATTTGTGGGTCCCATGGAGACCACATTTCCTGCCCACCCCCTCCCGTTTGTCCCAACAGGAGTGCCTCTGTTTCTCCTCTCTGTCCAGAATTCCCATTTATCCTTTAAGGACCCATTTCAGGGGGGCCTGGGTGCCTCAGTCAGTTAAGGTCTGACTCTCGATTTTGGCTCAGGTCATGATCTCAGGGTCATGAGATTGAGCCCCACACTGGGCTCTGTGCTGGGTGTGGAGCCTGCTTGGGATTCTCTCTGCCCCTCCCTCCTGACTCTCTCTCTCAAGTCACAACTATGGTAATTATTTGTTAACATACACACTGCACCTCCCAATCTTCTTTGGAACTCCGATTTTCCTCCCCAGGAAGAAATCTCTTATTCTACTTTTTTTTTTTTAAAGATTTTATTTATTTATTTGACAGAGAGAGACACAGCGAGAGAGGGAACACAAGCAGGGGGAGAGGGAGAGGGAGAAGCAGGCTTCCTGCCGAGCAGGGAGCCCGATGCGGGGCTCGATCCCAGGACCCTGGGACCATGACCCGAGCCGAAGGCAGACGCCTAACGACTGAGCCACCCAGGCACCCCTCTTATTCTACTTCTTATGTCTTGCCTGGCATAGAACAAAAATTAAATATAATCTTTCCTCATAAGAAAACATGGACAGAAAGTTTTGAGTAAACAAACACTTTATTTGAACCACCCCAAGAGCTAAATCATTTGTTTCTCTTGCTTTGTACAATGCCGATTTCATCTTGGGAAAAAAACAAAACAAAACACTTTTTTGCCTTGGATGTTAACATGACAACTTTTACAAATATTGATACAGATTAGTTATCCTTTATGTCTTTTGAGCCCTCGGTGAGTTTCTTCCTCGCCAGTGAGTTTCTTGGTACCCCATTTGAAATATTTTTGGGAAACATGTAGGCGGTTGGGACAGATGAGGTGCCTTCAGAACTATTGGTACGCCATCCATTTTAATGATAATCAGGATTTTTCTCTGGAAAAGTTTAGGAAAAAAAGTGATGTTTTTGAAAACTTCACTCTCCTTCCTTTTCTCCCATTTGCCTAGGCACTAAGTGCACTTTAGACCTTACCTAGAAGCCTCCAGTTTTAAGACTTTTTTTTTTATTCATGAGAGACAGAGACAGAGAGAGAGAGAGACACAGAGAGAGAGAGAGGCAGAGGGAGAAGCAAACTCCCTGCTGAGCAGTGAGCCCGATGCGGGACTCGATCCCAGGACCCTGGGATCATGACCTGATCCGAAGGCAGACGCTTAACCATCTGAGCCACCCAGGCGCCCCTAGAAGCCTCCAGTTTTGATCACAGTCCTGCTGATGGGCTCCCTGGGGACTCAGGGGCAAATATCCTTTTTACTCAGTGTTTTCTCAACTTAGGGAGTCTAGCCATTGGTCTCCTCCCTCCCCTGGGTGACTCTGGAGCCACTCCTGTTAACTGGAAGGAAGGAATCGGGCGTTGCTGGGCACCAAGCCAGGAACTTGAACTCTGCTGAAGAATGGGATCTGGGCGGCTGCTGACCCTCAGAGCAGGGCTGGGGGCCAGCTTGCTGGGCATCTGGCTACCTGGGGCGGCGGCGGGGGGGGAGATTCTTCTGCTCCTGACAACAGGCAGTTAGTTCGGGCTGCCTGCCATGATACCTCTCCTGCTGCTTTTCTCTGTGTGCTTGACCTCTTTGGTAACTCTACCTCTCACCAGATTTTGCAATTTGGTCTAGACTTCAAAACCTCAAGGTCTACCTCCCCTTCCTTTGGAGCTGCATTTCTCTGCAAGTTGGAAGCCAGCAAAGAGGATCAAGTTTCCTTCACTCCTTTTCTTTCAGGCTCCTGCAGCTGAACACTGCAGACCTACATACCAGAGAGCCTCTATTTATCCCGTCACCATTTTGAAGACTTCCCCCAGCCTGCTGAAGTTTGGGTGGATCTCTGACCTAGACGCCGACAAAGGAGCCACTCTGTTTTCAGGAACACTCACCTTAAGAAAACATTCATGCTAAGACACTGCTGGTCTTCATTTGGGGTGGCCCCTGGGTTTCTCTGTTCTAACAACTGTTTTTGGTTGTTTACCGTTTTTCTCTTTTTCTTTCTTTCTTTCTTTCTTTCTTTGTTTCTTCTTTCTTTCTTTCTTTCTCTCTCTCTCTCTCCCTCCCTCCTCTCTTTTCTTTTCCCACATGATCATGACATCTTTCTCCTGCTGCTTTTCTTTTCTTTTCTTTTTGTCTTTTCTTTTCCACTTCTGTAATCTGCCTCTCACTTGGTGGAATTTTCTTCTGTCTTTATGAAATTTTACCTTTTCCAGTCAGCCTGACCCATCCTCCCTTTTCTGGCTGCTTCTCCATTCCAGGGTTTAATGAGGAGATGTCAGGAAACACCAGAGTTTCTAGGCTGCTAATCTGGGGATTAGGGCAATTCGTTTCTGTTGAGGGTTAGACTCCTGCTCAAGCCTACTTCTTAACTTCAGGCGTAATCATCCTTTGTCTTCTGCTGTTTCTCAATGCTGCTTTGTTAATCTCTCACAATTAGCCACCCTCTTTCTAGACAAGGAGGCACCTTTTCTCATTTAAATTCCTCAGCTCTTCAGATTTTTCTGGACAGATGGCCGCCCTAAAAATGGCAGATGAAATCTGAGGCACAGAAAAGTTATTATGAAAACCTTTTCCTTGAGAGTTTTCACGGTCCATGGTTCACTTTGGGCGTAATTTTGCAGCAGGAGCATTAGACTTAAGAGAAAAGTTCCAGTTTTATGACCCGTTGGCTGTGCAACCTTGGGCAAATCACTTACCTTCTCTGGGCTCTTAGTAGCTTCTCTGGAAAAATGGGAACACTTCATGGGAATATTGGGGAGGTGAACTGGATTGAGATAGTAGGTTAAATGAACAGGGACAATGTCCTGCTTCTTCTTGAAGTTCTTCAAAGTGAAGGGATCATTAAGTATCGAGATTCATTTGGGTCTATTTATTTTAGGTGGATGTCAGGAGAAAGCTACAAGCTAGAAAAGGCACAGAGATGCTTGTGGGTAACATTTAACTAAAAACTGAGGGTATAAGCTGTAGGACTTTTTGTCCGAAGAGGGTCTTGAGACATTTGGATTGTTTTGGAGTCGTGTGAATCCGGTCTAGGCTCCTGTGGCCCCAGGGAGGTGCTTTGGGAAGCGGAGTCACTGCGTGGAGATTTCAACATTCACTTCCCAGGCCAGTGGGAAGCTTGCTTAGAAAAAAACAGTGTGTCCGGGGGGCCAAACCCAAAGCTGCTGGGCCGTTGCAGGCTGGTACCACCTTCTCTGGCTGTCTCTGAGGCCATCCAGAGGCCAGAGCCCCTCAGACGGACTGGAATCTAGAGAGCTGACTGCAGGGTTTGGAACTAAGTGCAGACTGCTTTGTACCACAGAGGGCGGGGGGGGGGGGAGGAAAGGGAGGCGGGCAGTAGAGAGCTGAGGCCCCACCTTTCATTCTCCAGCAAAGTGCACCAGCAGAGCAGGGATGAGTCACAGGCACTGGCGCTCAGCTTCCCAGTAGGTGAGGGACTGGCTCCTCTCTCGGGGAAAACGCGGCGCTGTCCTTACCGGCGTGCCCTTGGCCGGGAGCTGGAGCCCTCGGTCTGCCCGGTCTGGTCGCCGGGGCCAGGGCTGGGTTCCCTCATGTATGGCAAGAGCCCTTCGTGTGCTGGGCTGCTTCTCCTTGGCATACAGCTCACAGGTAAGGGCTGGCGGGCTTCTCTCAGCATTCGCTCCTTCCCTGCCTACCCCCACAGAGTTAGCTAAGTGTCTCCCAAGTCGCCAGAGTTTTGCTGGGGAGCCTGAGCCACAGTGGCGATCCGTTCTGGTTTTGACTTTACTGAAACTGAAGTTGGTGGGTTGTATTTGGAGAAGTGATTTTGGACAAACAGGTTTAGGTGTGTTTCGGCTGCTAGTGATTCCGGGTACAGAGAGGGCTTTCTAATCTCAGGTTACAAACCTTTTCTTTTTTTTTTTTCTGTGTGGCTACTCTCAACCTCCCACTGCGGGCAGGACTTGGCACTGGGATTTCTGTGAGTGGGTCTTGTCTGGGACTTGCAGTAGCCCTGGAAAAGCTGAGAATTTAAGGAGAGAGCACACCCCACCCCCCATAATTTTGAAACTGGCCCAACGTGCAAGTTCTCAATGTAAATATCACGGTAAAAAAAATGCCACGTGGTATAGAGTTTCCAGGGGTGCAAGCAGAAGCTGGCTGGGTTGATGAATTAAATTTCTGCAGAAGACTAGGAACAGTATGAAATCGTGACCCAACAAGGACCCTTTCTGGACAACTTAGAGGGGACCGTGATACACACAATACATAATGCTTAATCTGAATACATGTCTAATTCATGTTATGATTAGTTTTGATTTGTTTGTTTCTGCTTTCAATTTTATTTGCCGACGTCTGTAGTTTGCTATAACAGTCTGCAGTGGGTACCGTGAGGCTGGGGTATGGTGCCATGGCAAAAGTGAGAGCACTAAGAAGGCTCGCTGGGTGGTATTTTTAGTTCTATGGCATAGGAAGGCCACAGGTGCATGTACGTGGGAGTATGCAGACTCAGGATGAACTAAGTCTGAGAGCTGGGGCATCTCAATTCGGTTTCGTGCCGCACTCAGACATTTATTTTGGCAGTGTCTGCAGAAATTGTCTTAATCCACATCTTCCCTTTTTCTTTTCTTTGCCGCAGCCCTTGCGCGGATAGCTGCAGTGGAAATTTACACCTCCCAAGCACTAGAGGCTGTCAACGGGACAGATGTTCGGCTAAAATGCACTTTCTCCAGCTTTGCCCCTGTGGGTGATGCTCTGACAGTGACCTGGAACTTCCGGCCTCGAGATGGGGGGCCTGAGCAGTTTGTAAGTAGATTATTGTCATTGGCCAGGAGACCCTTGGCTGGGAAAATAAGCCAGTCCGTTTCTCCTTGCCCTTCCTGTGCTTTTCTTAGCAACAAGCTCAGGGCAAAGCTGAGAAACAATTCTTGGGACAGAGACAGACAGAACTGAGAGGTCCATCAACGGGAGAGCAAGAGGTTCTTGGGGGAGAGCTGCAGATGGGGCAGTGAGGCTGGCTCCCTCCATCTCAGCCTCCTTGTCCACGTACTGAAGAAGACCTTTGGCCACTTCTCCCTTCTAGGTATTCTACTACCATGTGGATCCCTTCAAACCCATGAGTGGGCGTTTCAAGGATCGGGTGGTCTGGGATGGGAACCCTGAGCGGTACGATGTCTCCATCATCCTGTGGAAGCTGCAGTTTAATGACAATGGGACATACACCTGCCAGGTGAAGAACCCACCTGACGTTGATGGGCTGATAGGGGAGATTCGGCTCAGCGTCGTGCACACTGGTAGGTCGGGCAGGGGAAAACCGTTTGGGGAAGCGTGAGAGCTTGTAGAAAAGAGAGGGGTAATCTTTTGTGATGGCTGAAAGGGTAGAGAGCAGGGCTAGCCCTTCAGATCCGCAATCCACAGAGGGAGACTGAAGAGTGGCGGGGCAAAAAGAGAAAGGCTTTGTTTGGCTGTGGAAAGAAACACAAAGTTAAGCAAACGGACCAGGGAATCTGTTACAGAAATGGCATTGAGATTGGAAAAGGGAGAGGAAGCAATTCTCTGATAAAAGACTAACAATAGATCCATTCATTCACTCATTTATTCACCAGATACTTATTGAGTACTTTGTGTCAGGCACTGTCCCGCACTTGACCCAAACTAGCTCATTTAACTCACACAACCGTCCTAGGCGGCAGATACCAATAACAACAGCTCTCCTTTATTAAGTACTCCCACATGCCACGGGCTTTGCATACATTAATCTTTATATATCACATCAGTTTATTGTGCTCTTAGTGCTACACATTTTACTAATGAGGAAACTGAGGCTCACAGAGATTAAGTCACTTGTCCAAATTCATGGAGCTGATACATGGAATCATTTAGAACTCAAACCCAAGCATCTTTGACTCCAAAGCCTCTAAACGAATGTACCGTATTGCTTGCAATCCTGTAAAGGCAAACCTGGAAACTGCCAGATAACGAAAAGCAAAGACCATAAAACTTCTGAGTTGTAAATCTGGGTTTGAGCCACTGTTATCATTTACCAACTGTCAATAAATATTTTTTTTCTCTCCTTACAGTGAGAATAATATAGCAAGGATTATGGTGAAGATAAAGTGAGATAATAGATGTAAAAATTCCCCAAACTCTTGACTTGCACTGAAAAAAATATTTGTTTGCATTGAAAATTATAATAGCTACCACATATTGAGTGTTTATTATGTGCTGGCACAGCATGGAACAATTTACACAAATTTTTTTTTTACTTTATTTATTTATTTTTAGTGATCTCTATGCCCAACGTGGGGCTCGAACTCACAACCCTGAGATCAAGAGTCGTGTGCTCTTCTGACTGAGCCAGCCAGGCGCCCCCAGGAATAAAATTTTTTAAATAAGAACTCAAGAAATGGATATTGTTACCCCTATTTAATACCCTGAAGAATCTGAGGCTCAAATAAATTAGTTACCCCAAATCACACAGCTAGTAAATGGTGGAGCTGATATTTTGATCTCTCTGGCGCATGCTCTTAACCAACACATAATATTACTACCCAAAACGTATAAGCCCGTAAAGTGGTAGGATTTCCTCCTTTCATTCCTAGTATCATCCTTCAGGGGCCCCATCAATAGGGCTGTGTGACCTTGGAGAAGTCATTTGAGTACCGAAAGACGTATTGGAATGTCCTGGGACCTCAGTTTCTGAATTCATCTGCAGCTTACCTGCATGAACAGGTTAGACAAGAACATGGGGTTCTTCCACGTGCCGTGATCACTACTCTGAGAATCTAGTGAAAGCCACGTCTCTGCTTCCCACAAAAATGTACACACACACACACACACACACACACAATGACATGGAGTTTGTGGACTTATGGCTCCCCTCTGTCCCTGTCCTCCTTCACAGACTCCAGGCTGGGAACTCCTGGGCTAGACATTTCTCTAATGTCTTTTCTGGCTCTGAGGGTTTACTGAAGTTTAAAAAAATGATTTTATTTATTTATTTGAGAGAGAGCGCAGAGGGAGAGGGAGAAGCAGACTCTCCGCTGAGCAGGGACTCAGGGCTTGATCCCAGGACCCCCAAGGTCATGACCTGAGCCGAAGGCAAACGCTTAACAGACAGAACCGCTCAGGAGCCCTGCGTTTACTTAAGTTTAAATCAGAAATCAGACAGGGTGCCTGGGTGGCTCAGTCGTTAAGCGTCTGCCTTTGGCTCGGGTCGTGATCCCAGGGTCCTGGGATCGAGTCCCACATCGGGCTCCCTGCTCCGCGGGAAGCCTGCTTCTCCCTCTCCCACTCCCCCTGCTTGTGTTCCTGTTTTGCTGTGTCTCTCTCTCTGGTAAATAAATAAAATCTTAAAAAAAAAAAAAAGAAATCAGACTAAAAGACAAGAGACCCAGGCTTCACAGATTCTGCCTGGTTTAGGGACCTTTCCGTCTAGGTTCCCTCCTGCATCATTTTATCTGCTAGACTATAGTTACTGATTTACTTGCCTATCTTCCTGGTGGGCATGAGTTCCTTGAAGGTAATATCTTTTTTGGCTTTGTATTTCCACTGCAATGTCTGAACATAGTAGGCCTTTAATAAATTGGAATAAATGACTGACTGAATGCCAGAGGTGAGAGGGAATTGAGGAGAAACAGTTCGGGCGCTGGGTTTGATGAGGTCAGCAATAACCTTACCCCACGAGGTGGTTCAACTGGCTCAGTAATTCTCGAAGTTTCAGCCTGCATCAGAATCACCTGCAGGACAGGTTAAAACAGAGGGCCGGGCCCTTGCCATTCTGGAGGCGCCTGATAATTCGCATTTCAGAGTTCTTAAGAGTGTTGCTGCTACTCCTGGGACCGTAGTTTGAGAACCACTAAAGTAGTCTGCGAAGCTTTCTTATTGCTCCTAGAGTTCACAAGGTAATACGGTAGGAGAAAGGAAGATTCCATTTAATGATGAAAATACACCCTTCTCGCTTTAGATTTCATCACGTCCCTTCTCTTTTTAGAAACATGAGATCCACTTTTTTTCCCTTACAGTCCGCTTCTCTGAGATCTACTTCCTGGCCCTGGCCATTGGCTCTGCTTGTGCACTGATGGTCATCATAGTAATCGTGGTGGTCCTCGTCCAGCATTTCCGGAAGAAGCGCTGGGCTGAGAGAGCTCATAGAGTGGTGGAGATAAAACCGTAAGGCTGGGCAGTTCTGGGAAGTCTTCTAACACTCTTTTATCATGATTCTTGGTATTTTACACTTGGGCTAAATGATTGTTGAACAGATGTTCTTAGCTCTGAGTAAGTCTTGTGAAAGAATTCAGATTCACAGGATAGATAAATTAGGGTGTGATTTAGTAACTTTATAAAAGCTTTCTTTTTTTTTTCTTTTAAAGATTTTATTTATTTATTTGAGAGAGAGAGAGAATGAGAGATAGAAAGCACGAGAGGGAAGAGGGTCAGAGGGAGAAGCAGAATCCCTGCGGAGCAGGAAGCCCGATGTGGGACTCGATCCCGGGGCTCCAGGATCATGACCTGAGCCGAAGGCTGTCGCTTAACCAACTGAGCCACCCAGGCGCCCTATAAAAGCTTTCTTAATTAATTTCATTGAAGATTTCATTATAGGCTTTATTATGGAGGATTTGATATTTTCAGAATCTGCTTATATAAAACTTTTCTAGGACATTCCTTTACTTTTAATGTAAAGTGTACATTTGTAAGGACCACTGGGCAGTCAGCAGGGGCGCCGCCAATCAGTGCCTAGGAAAGTCAGCCATGCTGATGGAAGGTGCTCAATAACTATGTATATTTTTTGAGATGAAATTTACCTACCATAAGCATTCACCTTTTTAATGTTTGCGAAGTTGTGTGACCATCACCACTGATTCCAGAGTTTTAATCACCTCCAAAAGAAACTCCATGCCCTTTAGCCATCACCATTGTCCCCTCCCACCTGCCCCTGACAACTACTAATCTTTCTGTCTCTATGGATTTGCCTATTGTTCAGAGGTGAGGAGAATGTAAAGTGCCCCCCAAACTGAGAAGGCACTTTGAAATGAAAAGGCGGTAGGCAACTCCATACAGAATACACAGTTTGGGGCGCCTGGGTGGCTCAGTCGGTTGAGTGACTGCCTTCGGCTCAGGTCATGATCCTGGAGTCCCGGGATCGAGTCCTGCATCGGGCTCCCCGCTGTCAGCGGGGAGTCTGCTTCTCCCTCTGACCCTCCCCCCTCTCATGCTCCCTCTCTCGCTCTCATTCCCTCTCTCAAATAAATAAATTAAATCTTTAAAAAAAAAAAAAAGAATACACAGTTTTATGCCGAGTGACTTACCGACAGGGAGGATCAAGAGAACTGCCATCTGGACAGCAGCACAGCTAGTCACCTCCGAAGTCCCATGTTTTAGTTTGCTGGTTTTATTTGTTTATTTATTTGACAGAGAGAGAGAGAGAGCACAAGTAGGCAGAGCAGTAGGCAGAGGGAGAGGGAGAAGCAGGACCCTGGGATGACGACCCGAGCCCAAGGCAGACACTTAACCAACTGAGCCACCCAGGCGCCCCTAGTTTGCTGGTTTTAAAGGAGCAGGATGTGTGGGGAGCGTGTTCGCATACACGTGATTGATTGCTAACGTTTAACAGACTTTCTGGCACCACCTGTGGCTCTGCAGAAAACTATGTTATCTGCACCAGTATCTTTTTTTTTTTAAATTTTTTATTGTTATGTTAATCACCATACATTACATCATTAGTGTTTGATGTAGTGTTCCATGATTCATTGTTTGTGCATAACACCCAGTGCTCCACGCAGACTGTGCCCTCTTTAATACCCATCACCAGGCTAACCCATCCCCCCACCCCCCTCCCCTCTAGAACCCTCAGTTTGTTTTTCAGAGTCCATCGTCTCTCATGGTTCGTCTCCCCCTCCGACTTACTCCCCTTCATTCTTCCCCTCCTGCCATCTTCTTCTTTTTCTTTTTTCTTAACATATGTTGCATTATTTGTTTCAGAAGTACAGATCTGTGATTCAACAGTCTTGCACAATTCACAGCGCTCACCATAGCACATACCCTCCCCAATGTCTATCACCCAGCCACCCCATCCCTCCCACCCCCCACCACTCCAGCAACACTCAGTTTGTTTCCTGAGATTAAGAATTCCTCATATCGGGGTGCCTGGGTGGCTCAGTTGGTTAAGCCACTGCCTTCGGCTCAGGTCATGATCCTGGAGTCCCGGGATCGAGTCCCGCATCGGGCTTCCCGCTCGGCGGGGAGTCTGCTTCTCCCTCTCGTGCTCTCTATCTCTCATTCTCTCTCTCTCTCTCAAATAAATAAATAAATAAAATCTTTAAAAAAAAAATTCCTCATATCAGTGAGGTCATATGATACATGTCTTTCTCTGATTGACTTATTTCACTCAGCATAACACCCTCCAGTTCCATCCATGTCATTGCAAATGGCAAGATCTCATTCCTTTTGATGGCTCTGCACCAGTATCTTAATGGGCCCATTGAAATCCAGAATAAGCTCCCTGGACATTCTGGTTTTGGAATGTAGGTGTGGAGTTTGAACATTTATCTTTTACATTACATCTTATACATTACTCTAGAACATGTAGCCCTGAAGAGGTCATCAAGCAGACTACAACAAGATGGTGGGTCAAAGATGGAGTCAGTATGGCCAGCATTCCTACACCTATTCTGGACATTTCATATAAATGGATAATCATACAGTGTGGCCTTTTATGTCTGCTTCTTTGACTTAGTATAGTATTTTTGAAGTTCATCCATGTAGAGCATATAGTAGCAGTACTTCATTCCTTTTTATGGCTGTATAATATTCCATTGCATGTACATACCACGTTTTGTTTATCCATTCAATTGATGGATGTTTAGATTTTCTCTGCTTTTTGGCCAATATGACTAATGCTGCTATGAACATTTATTTATAAATTTTTGTGGAGACATATGTTTTCAACTCTCCTGGGTATATACCTAGGAGTGGAATTATTGGAACATATGGTTACTCTATGTTTACCTTTTTGAGGGATTACCAGACTGTTTTCCAAAATAGCTACACCATTGTATACTCCCACCAGCAACATATGAGCTTCTAATTTGTCCATATCCTTGACAACACTTGTTGTCTGACCTTTTGATTATAGCCACCTAGTGGGCGTGGAGTGGCATCTCACTGAGGTTTTGATTTGCAATTTCCTAATGACTAATGATGTTGAGCATCCTTCCATGTGTTTATTGGCCATTTGCATATCTTATTTGGAGATCTATCTATTCAAATATTTTGCCCATTTACAAGCTGGATTGTCTTTTGTGGGTTGCCTTTTCACTTTCTTCTTCATGTCCTTTGAAGCACAGAACTTTTTAATTTTGATGAAGTCCAGTTCCTTGATTTTTTCTTTTGTTGCTTCTGCTATTGGTGTCGTATCTAAGAAACCACTGCCTAACTCAAGGTCGTGAAGATTTATGCTTGTTTTCTTCTAAGAACTTTACAGTTTTATTTTTTATTTTATTTTTTTAAAGATTTATTTATTTATTTGAGAGAGAAAATGAGAGAGAGCATGAGAGGGGGGAGGGTCTGAGGGAGAAGCAGACTCCCTGCTGAGCAGGGAGCCCGATGTGGGACTCCATCCCGGGACTCCAGGATCATGACCTGAGCCGAAGGCAGTCGCTTAACCAACTGAGCCACCCAGGCGTCCCAGAACTTTACAGTTTTAATTCTTTGATTCATTTTGAGTTAATTTTTGTATATGGAGTGAAGTAGGAGTCCAAATTCATTCTTTTACAATTACAGTTTTTCAGTTGTCCCAGCACCATTTGTTTCCTTTCCTCAAGAAATATTTACTGAGGTAAATAGAATTGATTTTAAGAAGCCCAATGAACCCAACTGTGATGTTAGGGTTTGACTACAAAGCAATAAAGATGGCTTCCAGGTCAACACAATTTTTTTTCTTTTTTCTTTTCTGAATAAGGAATGGGATTAGAGGCTGGATACTAATGATAAACTAAGGTGTCTGCTTTAACTACTTCAGGTTCCCTAAAAGTATTCTGAAGCATGTAGAAGTTCAGAGACCCAGGGTCATGTGGAGGCATGTGTATTATTAGATAGAAGGCACTGGTGGTTTAGCTCTCTGTAAGCTTGGATCTATTCCCAGATGCATTTAATGCTTCCCAAAATATGGGAGAAAATACATCATCCAAAGCTTTCTTTCTAAGATTTACCTCCCTTGCTTCTTGTCATTTTCACCTGATATTCGTTTCTACTTCTTTGTTACAGAAAAGAAGAGGAAAGGCTCAACCAAGAAAAAAAGGTCTCCATTTATTTAGAAGACACAGACTAACATTCTTAGATGGTGAGGCTCATAAATGAGTTGATTTCTCTCCTTAGATTTCTTGTCTGGCCCATCTCTAATGTGGATCTCCCAGATTTTAGGACTTCTTCATGAAATCAGATGTTAGGTGTTTTCTACATGAAATTAGAGGAACTGGATCAGGGAGATAAAAGTCTTCTATTAGTGTTATATACAGCTTCCTCTTTGAGTGTGTTTTGTGCAAAGGATGGGGCAGTTAGACCCTACTGCCATGGAAGATGGGAGAATTCTAAGATTATTGGAGGCTTTGTGGTTATGTTTACCATGACCAAGAATAATAAATTCACTTTCAACATGTAAATAAATCTTTATTTTTTTAAATGAAAGAAGTAATATCTGCTTGTTTTATTTTGTTGTAAACCAATTGTGGCATCAAGAGAATGACTCAATAGGTATGTCTGACATTTTGACGGAACTTTTATACTACTTGGAATTGATTTTGACTCCTTTCATCTAGTTATTGGGACTATGAATCTAATTTTAGTAGTGTGTAGTTCTGTTTTTCTAGTTTTCAGGTTTATTATGCTTAAAGGGTAGGTTGATTTATTTTTCATATGATCAGAATTTTTCCTATTCTCTGAAGTAGGTCCACTATTATTATTTGCAAAAAGAGTCACATTTTTGTAACCCAAAGCTTCAGGGAAAGCCCTCAAGGATTTATAAAATAGAATATGGAGAGAAATGATTCTGTTGTAAACCCAGAAGAATCTAGTATCAGAGAGAGATTTTACCAAGGGCTATTGTCTTTTTAAAGCCAAGCAGATTCTCTAACAAGTCCGGGTCATGAAAAGTAAAGATGGAAATGAAAAGAAATTTAAGGAACTAACACAATCAAGTGCAATGTGACTGGATGTCCTTATTGGATGGATACTAGTTTTAACAAACTAGTTGTAAGAAGATTTTGGTGGGGAGGGCAGTTGGGAGTCTTGAATATGAAAATTTTGAAAATGGATAATATTAGGGAATTACTGTTAATTTTTATTAGGTATAATAAAGATATTGTGGTTACAGAGGAGAATGTCCCTATCTTAAATATACATTTATATATAGTATACATTTATTACATATAAATTTATATATATTTATATATAACAAATTAAAAACCAAATAAATATATGGCAAATAATACAAAAAATACTTTAAAATTAGGTAATGGGTGAATTCTATACACTGTCTTTTCTGCTTTTCTGTGTGCTTGATTTTGTTTATAATAAAAAGGGAAAGAGAGGGAGAGAAGGCATGCATGTGTGTGAGTGAGCTATGGATCATCCAAGTGTCCATGCAAGGCAGAGGCTATGACTTAAGGAAATTGACACTGAGAACTATTTAACAAGGATCAGGAAACATCTTTTAAAAGTTAAATTAGGAGGAGAACAAGTACATTAAGAATATTTTCCTTCACAGTGGTGAATATATCTAATAATATATATGTAATTCATAATTCCAGGTATCTCTATGTACTCTTCCCAAATGCATTATCCATTTAAACTTTTGTATTTCAGGAAGCTGAAGATTCCCAAGAACAAGAACTTTAGGATAAGCTGAAGTTGATGGAAGCTTTTCTTTGGCTTTTTCAGTTGTGACCTGTCTTCCAAGCAGCTCTGCAGTACATAACCATCTAGATGAGCAACATCTCTCTGAAGCTGGCAAAGGCCCTCTTGAGCAGATACCAACAAACTCACACACAGTCTATTACTAAGGTTTTATTTAATTTCAAAGTGCAAATATTTTTCAAATGCCCATTATTAGCCTTTTATACTAAGAAGCTACATTTTTGCCCTTAAACACTCCTTGTGGATTATTAATTGTACACACATACATTGGTATCAAATGAGATGAAAGCCAACTTGTCTGTCATGTTTCCTTTAACATACTAGTTTCTTTAGAGTAGCACTCTTGCTACTAAAGTTAATGTGTTTACTCTTTCCTTCTCACTCTTAATTAAAAGTGAGCTAATTCTCCCAGCTGTTTTTGATTGATTAACAGTAAATCTTAAATTCAAACTGTTAAAGGAACAGTTTGATTTTTTCATGGCTGTCCTTAAGTATGGGACACATCTTGTTTTATTGAATTTTTTTCAGTATCCTAGATAATGTTTGTTTTTTGTTTTGTTGATCCAAGTTTTATAATAGCACAAATCTAAATCACAGAGTAGCTAGAAAAGTTTATAAATGCTTATAGATTGACAAATGCCACCCCAGGATGAATCACTTGTCACCCTTTTTTTTTCTGTGTTGTGAAACAACCAAAAGTGCAGGTTTTTCATGAGCAGTGAATACTGTTTAGCTTACTATTCAGTTATCTATAACAACAGAACAAAATCTAAGTTCACTTGCAGACTGGAATCATTAAGCAGTTACATGGAAGGATTCTGAAATAGTATGTTACAACTGTAAAAATTTAGGGCTGGTAAAAAAAATCAACCCTATATGATGATAATTTTGTACAGTGTTATATAAAGCTCTGAGAACTGGATGATATTATTTATTTATTTTTCCTTTATCTTATTTTTGCTTTAATTTACTTGCTTACTTTGTGGGAGGGAGGATTTGGTATGGGGCAAAGAAATACCAAAACCAATAATATGAAACCAACTTTATTCGTTTTTTCCCTTATACTAGTAGAGAAAGCAAACTTTATAAGTGGGCTACGGAAAGAAGAGTGCTTTTTAAAGTGTTTAATCTCCCAGTGTCTTTCCAAACTTAAGCTATAGCAGCATTTATTCAAAATGTACAAAACATCTGAAAGTTTAGGTGCTCCCTCTCCCGCATCTTTATCGTCTAATATTTTCAGTTTTTACTGACTGGGCCAAAGATGTTCTTTCTTTTAACAAACTGGAATTTTCAAATAGTTACCTGTATTTAAAGATGCTGAACTTTGATATTTTTTTTCGGGTATTTTAAAATAGTTGGTACAATTTACATATGAACCTTGATTCTGATTCATTGCATACCTGTCTCATTTTGTCTTTTACACTAAAAAAGTAGTCTTAATACTTAGTTTTGAAACTAAAAGTTAGATTTAAGGTCTATATTACCTTTAACTCACATTTTCTATTTTTATCCATAATTCAGCCTTTGAAAATAACATAATATTTTTTCAAACAGATGGCCTGGATGATGTTCCATAAGTGTAATGAAGAAGTGGTTAAAAACTCATGGAAAGTCTTTTCCATAAAACTTGTAGCTTGTGTGTTGGCTAAATATTCAGGGGTTAATATGACCCTGTTGTTCAGTGTCTTCTTCCTAAAGATACCTTCTGTATTGTAATTTATTTTTTATTGTGCCTTAAACACATTTGTAAATAACCTTTAGTAATAAAGAATTATCAATTATATAATTTGCTTATATACAAATCTAAACATTTTACACAGCAAGTACCAAAAAACAGATGGTTATATATTTTATCTTAACTGAGGAGTTTCCTTAGAAGGAGGGAGCCTGGAAGCCAATAATGGATAAAATCAGTTTATACTGGATAAGTGTATATGGATTTGGGCAACTGGGAACTGGGCATGACAAACTACTTAGTTTGGGAATGCTTCTGAAGGAAGGGTATCATCTCTTCTGTTTGGCACTCTTACATTACCTGTCAATAGAGAAAATCACTAGCTTTCAAGTCTGGTAACGGAATGGGAATTGAAAAATGAAAGCTTATTAAACTTTCCCAAAAGCTGAAGCATACTTTTTTTATTTTATTTTTATTTTTTTTAAAGATTTTATTTATTCACTTGACAGAGACAGCAAGAGAGGGAACATAAGCAGGACGAGTGGGAGAGGGAGAAGCACGCTTCCCGCTGAGCAGGGAGCCCTATGCGGGGCTCGATTCCAGGACCCTGGGATCATGACCCGAGCCGAAGGCAGACGCCCAACTGACTGAGCCACCGAGGCGCCCCTGAAGCATACTTTTGTTCCCCTCTTGTTTTCATTAAAAACACACAGATTCCAAGAAGATAGGATGACTAATGATTGGAGCAGGGTACCATCCCATCTTTTGAGAAGAATGGGACACTATCACGTCATTTCACTTCCAGCACTGAAAACATTACTTGCTCACTTTTCCCACCAAAAGAGTTCCTTTTTTCCCTCTATTATATGTTGTAGTCATTTCATCATTGCCACTGTAAACAGCAGTTTAATAAATACTCAATTTATGTAGGTACGGAGCTGGACACTGTGATAGCTACCCACAAAACACGAACCAAAGACACTTGAGGTACACATTCGTCACGAATGCCTAATAGATATTTATTGACTGATCCTGTATAATCTCCTAGGTCTCTTCTAACTCTAAATCTATAGAAACCTATTTTGAGATAGTTCAAATAAAATAATCTATAGGGAGTAAAAAATGACTTCTGAAGAGAATTGGAGGATCAAGACTAGTACGACAGAACTCCATAAAAATAAATCGTAATTTTCCCAAAGTCTGTGGCTTACTTCATTGTCAAGCAAAAGAGATTAACTGATTCTCATTCGAGACTTAAAAAAATCGCGGGTCGGAGCAGGTTCAGGTGTGGCTCTGGAAAGATGCCACGTTCCTATGGCAACTTCGAATCGCCATTTTAAAGTGCTCTCGCGGCCTCCCGCCCTGACGTCACTTCCGGTATCACCTGCGTGGTTACCGGGAGCCGTAAACAAGGTGTGCAAGCATCCAGAGAGCTGTCGGGATGCAGCAGAGCGGAGCTGCTGGAGGCCGTGGTTGCGCTCTGTTCCCACTGCTGGGCGTCTTGTTCTTCCAGGGTGAGAGCGCCGGCTGGGTCCCCCAACTTCCGGTCGGGGGGTTAGGGAAGATGGTCGGTTTTCCGGTTCCGGTGGGGGGGGTCTCAGGAAAGCCCCCACACCTCTTCTGGCAGTGCAGGAAGTGGGACTGTGTGGGGAGCGCGCTCTCTTCTTGTATTCACCACCCACTTGAGCGCCCTTGGCAGCTTGTCGGTGCTTTCCTGAGCCCTGGGGAGCTCGACCACTTTGCGTGACTGCTTTGTATTCTGGTGATGGCACAACGCGATAGAACCACGGAGGGCGCTGGCTTTGTGGTACCCCCGTGATATCTTGTGATGAGTTACCAGCGGTTGACTCCGCTGTGGTTTTGTGTGCTGAATGTCCTGATTAGGAAGGGGTAGTTCTAGCGTTCAGGAGTTTGTCTCAGTAATTTTGAGAAAGAAAATCATGACTGTTGGTACTTTTTTGTAGGTGATTGTCAGGGCCTTGGAAGTAAAATGTTTATTTTATATGTCACTGAAAGGATGTGCTGTGATTTCGTTACAGGAGAGACGCATTTTGTTGAGGAAAAAGCAACTGCTGTAGCATTTTAATAACATTTTTAAAATTCAGGAAAGCATATAAACTCTTAAAATCTTTATTAACTAATATCATAAGTACAGTATTCACACTATGGCATAGTCTTAGAATTTGGATAAGTTTTGCTTTCATGCAGTTCTCAAATTGCATAAATTTCAGCCCAACCTAATTACCTTCATTTTAGGGTGCAGTTATGGATTTGTGTGTGTGTGTATGTGTATGTGTGTGTCTTCTCAGGAAATTATGTGTTAATAGAGCTAGGATCAGAGTGAATTGTTAACTTCATAAAATTTCCCTGTGGGTAAGTGGGAATTTCTGAAGGGGGCCTTTGATGTAAAGACTTAAGTTGTTCTAAATCTTAGCAGGTAAGGCCAGGAAGTTATTTATTTGATGACTAATATTCCTGTTGCCAACACACTCCCTGATTCCTCCCAGCACTCTGTCATCACAAGTGTCCAGTTTTTCAGCTAAATTCTTTTGCAATATAATATTTAGGCTGACCTATCATTCCAAATATTCTGGTTTCATCTCTCTCTCCCTCTCACAAATATTCAAATATTGTCCTACTGAGAAAAAAAAATTCTAGAAATGATGGGTGGTTTCTTAAACTTGATGTCATTTCACATTGAAAAGCATCCACCAAAGACAGCAGACCAACTAATTCAAACTTAAAAATTTATCTTATGACCCGTATGTACTTGTTTCTTAAACGTAGCATGTTTTCAAGGTTCACCCATTTCTTTTTAATGTTAGGCAATAGACTTTGGTTTCATACCAGTGTTTATTTGCTTTTCCTCTTCAAAGATAGCACCCATTAAATGATTAGCTTGTTTGAATTCTCCAAGTTATAAACATGGTCCTGTTATATCAGTTGTCATAGTACATGGAAACAATAGATTAGACAGCCTAGGGTTCTTATACTTATCTCCATTTAAGTGTGCACTTTTATGAACTAAATGTCGACAGATTTGTATTTGGAAAATTGGGTGTACAAAGCTGGGAGTTTTGTTTTATCATATTTTTTTCATTCCTTCTGTGTATAAAATTACATATATTTAAATGTGATTTTCTTGTTTTCCTCCCAAATTAAACAAATTGTTAATTTTTATGAGTATATTCTATTCTACCTGGCAAGAATTTTTTTTTACTCTGGAGAAAAGATAAATAACCCTAAGCACATTAGACCTAGGATGAAAATTTCTAAATGAATGTAACAGTGGATTAGTAATTTTTTTCTTATTTTTTGAGTGGGGTAGACAAATGATTTTACATCTGTTGATTGTAAAACACTTTTAATTTCAGTATAATATATATAGAGAGAAAATGAACATATGGTAATTGTACAGCTTAATGCATTTTTAGAAACTGAACACACCTGGGTAACCGCCACTGAAATCGGGTTATAGAATGTTACTGGTATTCCAGAAGCCTTCCTTGTACTTCCTTCCAGTCATTATCCTTTCTCTCCCAAGAGGAACCAACATCCTGACATGTAGATTAGTTTAGTTCATCCATGGATCTTGCTTTTCTCTATACATTTAAGACCCACTTATCCAGTGTTGAGATTTAAGCAAAATGACTTTACTTAGTGATAACTTTGTGGCAAAATCATGCTCATGAATATGGAATTCAAACATATTAACAAGAAGTTGGTTGGTAGGTAGATTTATTAATGGTGTACTTACTATAATTCAGTAACCAAATTTTGCTCAGAACTTGTAGTTTTTATGCTTATTTTGCAATAATTTTTGTTTCATGAAAAGGAAACTGTGTTGGTTTGGATCGGTTTAATATTACTGAGCATCTACAGTGTGCTAGTTTCTGTTTTGATGAGCTCAGGGTCTGTTGGAGAAGACAAGTCAACAGATAATTTTAGAATCTGGTACTAAGAAATGTGGGAGCACAGAAGAGGTGCCCTTAATCTGCCATGAGGATACAAGGAAGACTTCCTGGATGTGCCACCAAAGTTAAATCTTGAAAGAAGAAGTTAGAGATAGGGAATGAGTAAAATTCCAACATAGAGAGGAACATAACAAAACATAGAGACATTAACTTTCCAAGCAAATTTTCTGAAACTTATACTTTGATTGGGTTAACTTAAATCACATGTGGAGTTTGTATGTGTGTATGTGACATTCAGTGTGCAGAGTTAGCTGGAGGGACATTAATGAGATTCTGACTTATAACTGTAACCCATATATTTCTTATTTCCTCTAAACCAGGGTTGGCAAACTTTTGTAAAAGGCTAGAGAATAAATATTTTAGGCTTTGTGGGCCATGTGGTCTCTGTTGCAACTATTTAGTTCTGTTTGAGTAGCACAAAAGCAGCCAGAGACAATATATAAATGATAAATATGGCTGTGTTCTAATAAAACTTTATTTACAAAGAGACATTGTAGGCTAGATTTGGCTCACAGGCCATAATTTGCTGACCTTTGCCCTACACCAGCCATCCATTGACATTATCTCTTGGCCATCTCAGAGGCATATTAAACTTATCCAAAATCAAGCTCATGTTCTTCCCTGCCACGATTGGTATTTTTTAGTCTTTCTTATGTCAGTGAATGGTATTACCAAGTCAGAAACCTGGGAGTCATCCTTACCACCTCTGTTTCCCTAACATTCCACATCCAATCTACCACCAATTCTTGCTGATTTTACTCTGTAAGTACTGTCTTCCTAATAATTCTTTCCATGTCTCCTACCACCAACTTAGTTCAAGCTTTATTTCTCATTTGACTATTGTAGTAGCCTTCTAAGTTATCTTCTTATATTTACTCGACGACTCCTAAGTGTCTTCCCTAGAGTGATCTTCCCTAGAGTGTTTTCCCTAGAGTGATCTTTTAAAAAATGAAAACTTCATCATGTCTCTTCTCCCTCAGTCCCACATATAAGTATTTTTCATGGCTTCCCATTACTCTAAGAATAAGGACCCAAATCTCTGAGGTTCTGCATGATCTGCTTCCTGCTTACCTCCTAGCCACATCTTTCTTTTTCTCATGCTTTTTGTGTTGGAGCCATACTGCCTTACTTTTGGTTCCATGGCTGACGGTGCTCCTTCCTGTCACAGGACCTTTGCATATGCTGTATTTTCTGCCTGGAATACTCTCCCTTTCCTCACCTTGTCACCCTTCCTTCAGAGCTCAACTCAAAAAGTAACTTTTCAGGGAAGCTTTCATTAACCACTCCCTACTCCTCTACCATAACTGGTGCAGTTCTCATAGTCACTCTCTGTCTTTGCTTCATAGTACTTATCAGATTTTGTAATTATACATTTGTCTTTATGATTATTTGATTAATGTGTTGAACTTTTGCTGTATTTTAAGCTCCAAAATAGGGAGTGTATTTATTTTGCTCACATTTAATTCCAGCCTCAGAGGGTGGCACAAAACAGATCCTCAGTAACTATATGTTTGAAGAGTGAGTGAATGAATAAGAATATTGTCATGGAAGCCTTAGGATAGAGAAGGATAGAGAAGAGCAAGGAGTCACTGCATCAGAGAGATCCAGTAAAATCAGGATAGAAAAGTACCTATTGGAGTTTTTATCCCTCGGATTTTGTACTTTTAAGACATGATGCCTTTTGGGCGCCTGGGTGGCTCAGTTGGTTAAGCGACTGCCTTCAACTCAGGTCATGATCCTGGAGTCCCGGGATCGAGTCCCACATCGGGCTTCCTGCTCAGCAGGGAGTCTGCTTCTCCCTCTGACCCTCTTCCCTCTCGTGCTTTCTCTCTCTCATTCTCTCTTTCTCTCTCAAATAAATAAATAAAATCTTTAAAAAAAAAAAAGACATGATGCCTTTTATCAGAAATGTTAGTTGAATCTGTATTGTACTATAGGGGCCCAGAAATGAATGGGAATGCCAGGTGTACACTGCTCTTTCACAAAGTTGGCTTGGAAAGAGAGGGCAGTAGTTGGTAAACGTAGTTTTGCAGGGTTAAGGAAAGATCATCATTATTTTGTTTTATTGTTTTTTGTTTGTTTTTAAGGATGGGAGAGACTTATTTGTGTTTAGAGGCTGAAGGGGAAGAGAACCCCTCTGAAAAGGAAGAGTTTGAAGATAGTAGAGAGGCTTTTTCTGCTGAAGCAGGGCTTGGAGGGGAGGGATCCAGGGCAGAACATAAGGGGTTGGCCTTGCATAGGAAAAGGGATACCACACACTTTCAGATTGGAAGTATGGATGGGTGTAGGCACAGGAGAGTGCATGGCTGGGCAGTTTGTATAGCCTTACATTTCTTCAAAAAGTAAGAGGAGATGTTTTCTTCTGAGAATGAGGGATTTGGAGGTTGCACGGAGGGTGGTGAGGATGGCAGGGGTTGGAGGAATCAGAAAGAGGAGCTGACCGAGGCTGGTTAAAGGGTCATCATGCCTCTTTAAGGGCTCAGATGGAATCCATGAATTTCTTATGGTAACTATCTGTACAGTTGGGTGATTTTTCTCCTTCAGTGTACACCAGCCACAGGCTAGGAGTGGTCATCTAGGGTTAAGCTTTTCCTGAATGGGTGCACTGGAAAGAGAGGAGTGTAGAGGACTTAAGAATGTTGGAAATACTGTAAAAGAGGAAGAGAGTGGGTGACTGGTGAGCACACTTTGTTCCTATACTAGAATTTTTGGTGACCTGTCCACCTCTTTCTCTCAGTCTCTGTCTGCTCCCTTCCCTCTGAGTTTTTGCCCTCTAGGTGCTTGTGTGTAACAGGGGAAATAGTCTTTACAAATTGAGGGCAATCAACAATACATGTGCTTGAGTAGCATTATGTGCTAACTGTTATGAGAACAGAGAAGAAAGAGCAGTGGACTGCACCAGGGAATTTGGGAAGGCATCGCAGAGGGGGCTGCTATTTGAAACAGGGTTTTGAAGGTGTGTGAGCATTGGGGGGTTGTGGTATGGTAGGAACAGGTAGGATTGGTAGAAATGGGGAGAGCCTTCCAGACAAAGCCATATTCAGGGAGAGGCACAGTGTCATGAAAGTTTAAATTTGGGAAATGGCAGACATTCTGGGCATGGTGAAAGGGATGGGATGAGTAGGTGGGTGGAGTGGCAGAAGTTTGGGGCCAGATTGTCTCTATGTGGATTTTATTCTATATCCCAAGAGGGAATTATTGAAGGTTTTTGAATGTTTGTGGTGTTCATTTTAATAATAACAGCTAACATTTATTGAAAGGTTCTCTTCCAGATGCTATGCTAAGCATTTTATGTGTTACCTTATTTAATCTTAATTGGATCCTTACAGTGACCCAGTGAAGTAGGTCTTGTCATTCTTCCCATTTACTGAGTAAGGAAATTGAAACTTGAACAGGTTAGGTGACTGTGATTAAAATCTTACATCTAGAAAGTAGCTGGGCTAGAACGCAAGTCCAGGTCTATCTAATTCTAAATCCATGCTTTCAAATCTCTCCACTGCACTTGAATTTTAGGGTAAAGGAATAGTATGGGGAGAGTGTGGATTATCCATCCATTTCCAGCTTCCAGTTTTTAGAGCTGGATCATGAGTTGTGTGTAGGGTGGGTCGGGAGTGAAGGCTTGGGAGAGAGTAGGGGCTGAAGGATGAAGGCTTTCCAGGCAGGGGAACAGCATTTGCCAAGTCATAGAAGGAACGACAAGTTTAGCATGGCAAAGTCCAATTGGATGGTATGGAGGAAACAGAGGTAAGCTTCATCTTTGGGATCGGTCAGATGCTTATTAGAGTTGTGAGCTCAGTCTTGGTCTCCTCCTTTTAAGAAGAATGTGAACAGACTAGATTGTCTTGAGAGGAGCAAGAAAAACGATTCAGAGCAGACAGAGGTAAAGGTGTTGATGACTCATAACTGTGTCTGTGATGGGGACGGTTGAGAGAGTGTAGGCAGAACTGAAGAAGTGCACTGAGCACTTACTCTGGGGTAGGCAGGCTTTCCAGTGTTACACCTGTTTTAACTCATTTATTCCTCACACTGACCTTCTAAGGTAAGTGCTGTTATTATCATTCTCACCAGAGTGAGAAAATGAAGAGTAAAGTAACTTGCTGAGACCACAGAGCCAGCAAGCCATAGTGCTGGGATTTGCATCCTGCCTCGACTAGGGGGACTGCGGGTATGTGGATTGTGTGTGGGTTTGCCCTCTTCTGAATCCTTGCTGCTCTGGGTGCCTTTGGCCTGCCAAAAGAATCAGGGCTTGTCACAGTGGAGAAGAAAGCAGTAAAAACAAAGTGCTGGTGACTTTCCTAAAAATTGGCTCCCTTCTGGAAGATAAATTTCTACTCAGTGTTTTTTGAAAGGGGATTGGTCAGAAGTGGGAGCTCTTTTTGGGGGAGCTGGAATGCCAAAGTTGGATATATGAGCCCGTTTTGGCAAGAGTTAAATCTCTAGAGCGTTTAAAAATGATATTTTTATATTTTAGAATGCATTAAATTGTTCTGTTTTCCTCCCCATGATTTACTTTTAATGGATGCAGGATTCATTAACCAGCTTTAAGAAAGGAAAAGATAAAACACGACTAGATAGAACCTGGGGGCAGTTTTCTAAAATTCTTTGAAAAAATTTCCTCTTCTTATTTCCTGTTCTCATTTTGCTGGTGGTTGAGAAAGTGGTAGCCTCAGGTTATAGCCAGGCTGTACTTGGGGGTAAGTCCCTTAGACCACAGCAGCTGCTATAATTCCTGGGGTGTCAGTGTGTCAGGGGGTGCACAGCATTTCCTTTTAGCGGCTGTGGGCGGACCCACTTGTTTGTACTGCATTTAACCACAAGTCTGTATTTGGAAAAATGCTGGTGTGATCAGGTTTTAGATTTTTTTTTTTAAAGATTTTTATTTATTTATTGAGAGAGAGAGAATGGTAGAGAGAGAGCATGAGAGGGAGGAAGGTCAGAGGGAGAAGCAGACTCCTTGCAGAGCAGGGAGCCCGATGCGGGACTTGATCCTGGGACTCCAGGATCATGACCTGAGCCGAAGGCAGTCGCTTTACCAACTGAGCCACCCAGGCACACTAGGTTTTAGATTTTTACCCAAGCATTCATCCTGTGATTTAATATTGTAAAATGACAAAAATACTACCCTTGATTCATGCAGATACCTGCTCCTTGACCTTCTGGGCCTGCCTGAGAAGATACTCATTTATTCCTCTGAGAGCCCAAAAAACGATAGTGTCTCTCTATTGCTCACTCACATCTATCTATCCCACCTAAATGCATACCTTTTAAATGTTTGGGCTTGCTTTGATTAGGTGTTCAAGTCGTCCTTTCCTTGGAGATTAAAGCAGATGCCCACGTCCGGGGTTATGTAGGAGAGAAGATCAAGTTGAAATGCACCTTCAAGTCGACTTCATCTGTCACTGACAAACTCACCATAGACTGGACGTACCGACCCCCCAGCAGCAGTCGTACAGAATCAGTGAGTGTTTCCTATTAAGGAAATGTCTTTGGGTCTGAAGTGGTCAGCAGCTCTGGAATCCTTTTATTCCAGGTCCCAGGCATACCTCAGGCCTTCTCATCTTAGAATCAAACATGAGCTTCTATATAAATAGGAGAAGATCAAGGCATTCATTTGGTCATGTAGGGCTTTTTTTTTTTTTTATTCTTCCATATGAGAATCTTGTAAATAAGCTATAGGAAAAAAATTGTCAGAAACTCAGAGGAAATGTGGTTTAATTTTGTTTCCCCTTTGTTGTTTCCTTCTGCATGTTTTCATAGCTTGTTTTCAGATTCAACGTACTAAAAAGAGTACCTCCAGGACTGTTGGATTGGAAAATTCTATAGGTCCCAATCGTAGACATCTTTTCTCATGAAGTTGCTCATTTCTGTGGTATGAGGTTGTCTCAACGGGTGTGTCTGTTGGAATACCTGTACTCTCTAGATTTATCTCGGCCTCGTCTCCTAGTATATAAACATCTGCATTGACTTGTATGGTACCCTTTGAAGGAGCCGGTGGCACCTTGTGTGGATGACAGATGCTGTTGGTGACAGATGGTGTTGCAATATTAGAAACAATATACTTTATACACACATATAAAACACATTTATGGTTCATATCCCATTGTGGGTGTCTAATTGAAGATTGCAGTGCTATAAAAAGCCCTTTCTCTTTATGCTTCCAGCAATATCCTTAGTTCAGGATAGATGCTATCAAGAATGTGAATGTTGTAGCTGTATGTAAGATTGTATTTTTTGAAAGTATCCTTAATTCTTTTATCCTGTTTCCTTCATTGGAGAACTTTCTCTTTGATTTTAATATATAAGCTTTGAGTTTTGTTTTAGGACCCATTATTGAATGCCACATAGCTAGGAGCCAGCTAGGGGGCTCCAGAGAAGACAGCTAGGCTGTATTCGTGGTCGCCTTTTCTTTAGATTTAAAATAGTTCACTTTATTTCGAGTGGTCAGGAAACTATGGCTGGCCTTATTTGACTGCTTCCTTGGCCAAAAGTAGGACAGAGCAAGCAATGGGGGATCTTCTTGGGTCAGAAACCTTAATTGCAAACAGCAGTTCCTGTATGGTGCTGTTTTCTGGGAGGCTGGTCAGAAAGCAAGCTCATGCAAGTTGGAATCAGTGGACCTTTAAAGTCACGTTACGTGATTGTCACAGTCCAGGTCAAGTCAGTCAGGATTCTGTCAGGCTAATCGGTTGGCAAGGATTTGGGTATCACCAATTTAACTCGGAACTTACAGGTTGTATTTATCTTGAAGATACACAGCAGGCCTTGTTTTGTCAGTAAGGAGTTTCAAACCCTTTTATATAGATGGCTGGTAACCAGTGGTAGGCATTCTTTACCTCCCTCTTTGCGTGTGTGTGCGTGTGTGTGTTTAAAAGATTTTATTTATTTATTTATTTATTTATTTTTTAAAGATTTTATTTATTTGAGAGAGAGAGAATGAGAGACAGAGAGCACAAGAGGGAAGAGGGTCAGAGGGAGAAGCAGACTCCCCGCTGAGCAGGGAGCCCGATGCGGGACTCGATTCCGGGACTCCAGGATCATGACCTGAGCCAAAGGCAGTCGCTTAACCAACTGAGCCACCCAGGCGCCCTAAAAGATTTTATTTTTAAGTAGTTTCTACACCTGGCATGGGGCTTGAACTCACAATCCTGAGATCAAGAGTTGCTGCTCCTCTGACAGAGCCAGGCAGGCGCCCCTTACCTCTCTCTTTGGAACACTCATCACACGTGTCATTATTTCTTAATGTCTGTATTTCCCATTAGACTGTAAAATTTGTGAGAGCAGGGACTATGCCTGTTTGGCTTCCACTATGTCCTTTTGCTTAACACAGTGCCTAGCACATAGTAGGTGAGCCCTAAATATTTGTTGAATGAATGCACGAACAAATGAACTGATAAGTAATTCAACATCTTCTCTGGGAAGTTGCTCCTCAAAATTGGGCAATTTAGTGGTTGTAAATGGGGAGGTACCAAGTCTTGAAAGAAAGAAAGGAAAGAAAGAGGAAAGAGGAAAGAAAGCCTTGAACCTTGCATAAGAGAGAAAGATCATGTTGTCTTGTAGTACCTGCTTGGCCTACCACCAGACATAATGAGATGCTTTTGGTGACAAAGTGTCTGATCATCAATCTGAAGTAGCACCGTTTTAATTCAGTTTCATTCACTGAGTCCTGATCATGCATTTGGCTTGGGGTTTTTATTAATAGCCAAGTTAGATAGATAACTCAAGAGAGGCTTGATTATATTATACCTACTTTTATTTATTTTGAGATTAAGCAAAAGCTTCCCCTGCCCACTTACTACCTGTGTGCCTTTGAGTAACTCACTTAGTTTTTAGCCTTGTTTCCCTTTCTATAAATTTGGAATAATCATACCTGCCCCATGTATCGTTCAGTGTTGTTATGTGGCTCAACTGAGTAAACCTGTGGGAATCATTTGCAGACCAGAAAGGACCACACAAATAACAGATGCTACTTTAGAATAGGGTTTCTTAGCTTTGGCACTGTTGACATTTTGAGCTGGAGAATTATTTGTTGTGAGGGGTATATCTTATGCACTGTAGGATTTTTATCAGTATCCCTGACCTCTACCCACTAGATGCCAGTAGCACTCTCCCCAACTGTGATAACCAGAACTGTCTCCAGATATTGCCAGATGTCTCCTGGAGGCCCACATTGCCCCCAGTTGAGAACTACTGCTTTAGGACTTCAGGGAGAATTTAGAAGATCTTCAGGAGTTAGGATCCTAGGGCTCTTAGGTCAGGCCTTTTCCTGATAAGTTGTATTAACTTGTCTTTTAACCTATAGGAAGGAGGTGAACAAAACATAAAAAAAATAAAAAAAAAAGTCCAACTGAGAAAACCCATTATGCATTTGTATTTTATTTTGGACTTACTTAGTTTTACATTTTCATTGCATTTTGCAAATTAACTTCTTTTTTTGTTTGTTTGTTATGATGTTGCTTTTTTAGATTTTTCATTATCAGTCCTTCCAGTACCCAACCACAGCAGGTACATTTCGGGATCGAATTTCCTGGGTTGGAGATGTATACAAAGGGGATGCGTCTATAAGCATAAGCAGCCCTACCCTAAAGGACAATGGGACATTCAGCTGTGCTGTGAAGAATCCCCCAGATGTGCACCATAATATTCCTGTGACGGAGCTAACAGTCACAGAAAGGGGTAAGCCAACTGCCACCAACCTTCTTCTGCCGGGCTCTGTGACTACCATGCTACTTACCAGAGAGATCAGGGACAAGCACAGCTACTTGTCTTTGAAAGCCAGTCAGTCAATGGAACATTTGGCCATCCTGAATTGACTATTAGGATGAATTTCTTAATCTTGATTTTGCAAACTGAAGTTGTTATTCAAATGTTGTTATAGTTTCCCCGTTATCTATTTTTTATTTTAACTTCAGGTGTCCAGAGGTCTTGTGGAACGCATGGCAGACCCCTAAGTAAATGGAGCCTTGTTATTTGTGTGAAATAGAAGTCATTTGATTTCCTCAGTCTGTTCATACCCTCAGTTATGAGGCCATTTTCTTGCCCGTGTGTTGAAAGGGTGCCCCTTTTAATGATGGGAGGCAGCACATTTCTTTTATGTTACAAAAGGCAGCAGTTTCCTTTTGGCGTGAAAGTGCAGGAAAGTAGGTTAAGGACTGACGTTTTTTCCTACATTATTCTCGGTCAATCTAATTCTCAGTTGGATTTGAACCAAAGATGTAGAGATACAGAACTGCATTATGGTTCGTTACAGATGCCTTATCTCCTAGGTCTTTCTCAAGTCTGTCTTTTTCTCCCTCTTTCTTTCTCCCTTTCTTTCCCTTCTTCCTCCAGTTCTTTTTTCTTCTTTTTTTAAGAGGATAACTCAAGGTTTCAAAGATACAGGCATGTTCATGCTGCAGGCTGAGTAGAAAGTAGTATAGTTTTTTTGGAAGAAAGTTTGGTCATATTAGATGCCTTAAAAGTGTATGCCCTTTGATCCAGGAATCCCATTTTAAATTTTATCTTAAAGAAATAGAGCTAAATATGAGGATTTATGTACAAGGATGATCATCATAATGTAACTTACAGATTCAAGGAATTGGAAACAGCTTGAGTGTCCAGCGTTACGAAATTGGTTCAGTAAATTACTCAGTATGGTAGAATACTGTGCAGCCAAGTAACGCTTGGAAGGAGTTTTTAATGACGTGGGAAAAATTTATCATATATTACATAAAAAAAGGAACTTAGAAATAGTCCATAAACATATGATCCATACTTCTTTTTTTTTTAAGATTTTATTTATTTATTTATTTATTTGAGAGAGCGAGAAAGAGAGAGAGAGAGAGAGCACATGAGAGGGGGAAGGGTCAGAGGGAGAAGCAGACTCCCTGCTGAGCAGGGAGCCCGATGTGGGACTCGATCCCGGGACTCCAGGATCATGACCCAAGTTGAAGGCAGTCGCTTAACCGACTGAGCCACCCTGGCGCCCCGATCCATACTTCTAAAGCTAGGCACTGTCCTCCCTATCTGCAGACCCATACCCACATACTCCTAGAAAGAACACCGAATGGGTAGATACCGACGTGTCAGTCCTATGTAGGGGGATTACGGGTGCATTTTTGTTCTTTGTACTTTCATGTACTCTCTACCTCTTCTACAACGAATTCTTGTTGTAATCAGAAGAAATACAAGAGCAAAAGTACAATCTAGCTCAGCCAAAGAAGGCCCTTTTGCACGTCCCTCCCTCTCACCTTCCCTTTTTCCTCCTCTAGGTTTTGGCACCATGCTCTCCTCGGTGGCGCTCCTCTCCGTCCTTGTCTTCCTGCCCTCAGCCGTGGTGGTGGTTCTGCTGCTGGTGAGGATGGTGAGGAAGTCTGAGGGGCTGCAGAAGATGAGCAAGTCTGGCTATAAGAAGTCGTCTATTGAGGTTTCAGATGAGTAAGTTCAGCTGGAACCCCAAGCACTTAACCCCTTTCCTCTTCAGAGCCCTGCTTGGTGGATCAAGTCCCCAGAGGCCTGAATCCACCCCTTTCCTTTTTCCCAGGCCAAGTTTCATTCTGCCGAGGAGTACTAGAAGGAAGGTTGGGGGTGAACCTAGTGGATATTAATTTGGGGAGACAGATGGAGGGGTGAATGTAGGGTCCTTGTCTCCGCTTTGGAAATCAGATTGTACTATCTATGGTTCTGCATATAAATTCTAAAGTGGTGGGGCGCCTGTGTGGCTCAGGCAGTTTAGTGTCCGACTCTTTTTTTTTTTTTTTTTTTAAGATTTTGTTTATTTATTTGACAGAGAGAGAGCGAGAGCAGGAACACAAGCAGGGGGAGTGGGAGAGGGAGAAGCAGGCTTCCTGCTGAGGAGGGAGCCCAACGTGGGACTTGATCCCAGAACCCTGGGATCATGACCTGAGCCGAAGGCAGATGTTTAACGACTGAGCCACCCAGGCGCCCTAGTGTCCGACTCTTGACTTTGGCTCAGGTCATGATCTCAGGGTTGTGAGATCAAGCCCTGTATCAGGCTCCATGTTGGACGTGAAGTCTGCTTAAGATTCTCTGTCTCCCTCTCACTTCACGTGCCAGATACACAGCTTATTTTCTTCTCTAAATAAGCTACACTCACTCAGGTCTTCCTCCCTTTTTCTCCCCCCACATGCTTTTCTCTCCCTTGGAATCTTCTCCTTTCCTCCCTTGTTTGCCTGGAAAACTCTTCCTGATCCTCCAAGACCCAGCTGAAATGTTCCATCTCTGGAGTCTCCCTGAGTCCTCCCCAGAGAACAGGTCACTCCCTCCTCTTTGCTGCCCTCGCAGTTTGACCTTAAGCTTATTAAAACACTTTATTACATTGTGTCATAATGTACTTGTTAGGTTGCAACAGGTTTCTCACACCCATGAGGCTGTGAGCTCTTCAAGGGGCAGTGTGGTGCTCAGTACATTTCTAAGTGAATGATTGGGACCAGTTCCTGTTTACTGGGCACTTACTATGTGTTAGGCACTGTGGTACGTGGTTTACATGTGGTTATTTTTTATCCCAGTGCTTAAGTAACCTGCCTGCTCACCCTTCTGGAAGTGGCCGAACTGGGATTTAAAAACGAGACCTGTCTGACTTCAGCAGCTGTGCTCCTAGGTGCTCTGCTGTGCCGAGGACAGTAATTGTTCAGATTTGCTTTGTCCTTTTTCTCCAGGACGGGCCAAGAGGAGGGGGATGACTGCATGGCGAGGCTTTGTGTTCGTTGTGCGGAGTGCCTGGTAAGCTCATGCCATTTCTCTGTTCACTGTTCATGTTCCATTTTCCTGCGTACTTAAGGGGATCCTTTGCCCTCAGAGGCAGCAGAGGATATGCAGATAAGGTCCAAAGCAAGGTATGAATCAAGGTCTTCCCCCAAAGCATTTTGGTCTCAGGGGACCGATTCTAACCATTATTTTATTTTCTGTCTGATAGGCATAGAGTGGTGTCCTTAGGTTAGGGAAGGTTAGGGAAGTCTGCCTACTGACAGCACCCTGAAAGAGGAGGGGCCTGTGCCACCAAGGTCATACTAGGAGACTTTGGCTGGTTGGACTCAGAATTCTGAATTGAACTTTCCTGCTGTGCCTCAATTCCCCCCCCCCCCAGGGAGTTAGAGTGATATAACCTTCTAGGTGACTTGTGGCTTTATCAGTAAGAAATACCCATGTTGGAGGGGCACCTGGGTGGCTCAGTTGATGAAGCGTCTGACTCTTGATCTCAGCTCAGGTCTTGATCTCAGGGTTGTGAGTTCAAGCCATGTATTGGGCTCCATACTGGGTGTGGAGCCTACTTAAAAAAAAGGAAGAAGGAAAAAAAAAAGAAATACCCACGTTGGAAGGCCTGAGTGTTGATTTAAATTTCAAAAGGCTGTCATCCCTCTGTTTTTTAAACTCTGGCTATGATTGGTAGGCTTGTGTGGCTGTCCCAGCATCCTAGGAGGAGAGACTCTCTGATGTGGTGCAGTTGGAAACAGGTCAAAAGCAACTTACGATCTAATATGAAACATACCTGTCATTGCAGGGTTTAAACTTGAGTTCTCTTTGTACTCACTGCCAAGCTCAGTGCTTGGCCAGATGACTGTAGCCCAACTGTTCACTGCAGTGTTCTTTGTTTCTCTCTCTCACAAACGGGAGTGTAATAGCTAACTTGAGGGGAAGGTTGAAGAGGATCTAACAATAACCCTTCAGGGTTTGAATACTCCGATAACACAAAATAAGTTAGTGTCCATGATTATCATCATCCACATTTCAGATATTAATTCATTCAGCAGTTATTTACTGAGTATCTGACATGTGCCAGGTAGATTCTGGGTACTTAGGAAACACAAGTGAACTTGTGACAAAAATCTCTGCCCTCAGATAACTTCCATTCTTTTCCGTATATAGAAAACTCTCATTCTTCAAGACGCAACTGAAATGTCACTTTCTCTTAAAATAGTTAGTATTGGTTATTAAACAATAACTAACTAAATCTTTTGAAAATAAGCAAAACATGGAGTATACCAGATGGTACTTAATGCAGTAAAGAAAAGCAAAATAGGGAAAGAAAATGGGATGACTGGATAGGGGGTATGTTATTAAATACCTCGCTGAAATGATATTTGAGCAAACACCTAAAAGAAGTAGGTAGGAAGCCATATAGCTGTTGTGGAGGAATGTTCTGGACAGAGGAGATGGTAGGTGCAGCAACTCTGTGGAGGGGCCATGTTTGGCATGTTCTTGGGACAGCAAGGAGACCAATGTGGCAGGAATGAAGTGAGCAAGGTGAAGAATAGCATTTGTTGACATCAGAGAGACAATGCCATATCTTATGAACATAATAAGTGAATGGAATGAACTGGGCTTTTATTCTTTTTAAAGATTTTATTTATTTATTTGACACAGAGAGAGACACAGCGAGAAAGGGAACACAAGCAGGGGGAGAGGGAGGGGGAGAAGCAGACTTCCCGCCGAGCAGGGAGCCCGATGCGGGGCTCGATCCCAGGACCCTGAGATCATGACCTGAGCCAAAGGCAGATGCTTAACGACTGAGCCACCCAGGTGCCCTGGGCTTTTATTCTTAATGAAATGGGATGCACTGGAGGTTTCTGAGAAGAGAAGCACTATGTATTTCCAAAGGCTCACTCTGGCTTCTGTGTTGAGAATAGGTGGTACCGTGGTCAAGGGGCCATGACAGTCATAGAGCCCAATAAGAGACCTTAGCAATAATGCAGGTGAGAGGGGATGGTACTGGTTTGAACCAGGGTGGTAGGAAGTTGTTGTATTCTGATTATAGTTTGAAGGTAAAGCCAGAGGGATTTATGGGTGGGTTTCCCGTATCTGTGAAAGAATGAGAGGAATCAGGGGTAATTCCATGGTTCTTGACTTGAGCAACTGATAGAATAGGTAGAGTAGATGTAGACTAGAGCCCTGGAGTTCTCCAAGGTTGATCAGTTGGGAAGAGGAAGGGGAATTGGTAAAGGAGGCTGAGAAGGAACATCCAGTGAGGTAGCAGAAAACCGGGAGGATTTGTTATCCTGGGAACCGAGTGAAGAATGTGTTTCAAGGTAAAGAAGGTGATTAACTGTGTCGGTTGCTGCTGATTCAGGTCAAGTAAAATGAGAACTGAGAATTGATTATTGGCTGATCTGGTGATGTGGAGGTCATTGGTGACCTTGGCAAAAGCAGCTTCAGGAGAATAGAGGGGAAGAAAGCCTGATGGGGATAAGGTTGAGAAAGAACGCAGAGAAGCGATGGTGACAGTGGGTGTAAACAGCTCTTGCAAGGAGTTTTGCTGTGAAGAGATGCAGAAAAATAGGGTGATAGGGTAGGAGGGAGATGTGTGTCAAGAGTTACTTTCTGTTTAAGGTGGGAGAAATTATAGCACATTTGTATGCTGATGGAAATGATTCAGTAGGAGAGGAAAAAATGATGCTGCGGGGGGCGGGTGTGTGTGGCTGGAGTAGCTCTAGAATGTGATGCACAACGGGGATGCTGACCTTAGAGAAAGGCAGGGAGAGAGAATCCATAAGAAGAGTAAGGAAGGCCACGCAGATGGGCCCAGATGCAGGTGAGTGCGTAAATATGGTGACGGGAGCTCCCGGAAGTTCCCTGCTGATGACTCTTTTCCCAATGTCGGGAGAAAGCAAGGTCGTCCGCTGAGAACAAAGTGAGGAGGACGTGCTGGAGGTTTGAGGAAAGAGGGAAAGGTAGTCATCCAGGAGAATAGGAGAACGATGGGCCAGAGAAATGTGGTGTGCCAGGTAGTACTAATGGGCCACTTGAGGTTAGAAGTAATGAATACAAGTTTAAATAATAAAAGTAAGAATAATGGTAACAGTAGCTAATCTTGAATGAGTGCTTGCACAGCGCTAAGCACAATGCAAAGTGACTTCCATACATGGTCTCATTCAGTTCTTGTCGCCTTTCTATGACGTGTCCATGTTTTTACTACCCCCACCCCCCATTTTACAGATAAGGAAACTGAGGCCTAGAGTCATTTAATAACTTTGCTCAAGGTCACACAGCCAGCAAGGGGTGAAGCTGGCATTGGAACTCAGAGAAATCGAGAAACCCAGACTCCCAGCTACAGTCCTCATGCTCTTCTGCAGACAGGCATCTTTTCATGTGTGCTGAGGTTTTAAAAAATATCCACCATGGAAAAGGGAACCATTAGGGTTTCAAAGCAGAAATTAGTCCAAAGGACAGCAAATATATCGACGCCTTGGAGGCTTCATGGGAACCTAGATGCGCTGAGTCAGTGCTATTTCATTGTTAATGTCACCTCGTGCTGAGTTCCGTTGAGGGGTCCTTGCACAACCTCTTTGTCTAAACTCTGACAGTGGCCACATATCTACACCACAACTGCTGTTCTTTCCCACCAGGACTCAGACTATGAAGAGGCATATTGATGAAAGTCTTCATGATATAAGAAGAGCCACCTGCTAGCAGAACATGTCCCGTTCCCCTGGCAGCTAAAGCCTCTCAGAAGCAGAGCTGGCTTGGATGGCAGTGCTGGAGGATTCTGGAAGTCATCAGGAGAGACTTCAGGAACCATTTATTTATTGAAGAAATGTTCTTTTTATATTTATAAACTAAGAGCTCTCAGAAGAAACTCATAACTACCCCTTTTAATAACTTATGCTCTACTTGAATGAAGGAGTTCTCTTCCTGAATTGAAAGATACTTTTTGTTTCCCCTGTGTTCTTGAATGTATTACATGTTTTCTTCCAGTTACTTGAGGGGAATCCTGAATGTTGGCCACACCATGGATGCCAAAATATCTTTAAAAAATGAAATGGAGCTCGTAGCTTCCTGATGTGCTACAAGACGAAATGTTCGTTGGGGATAAGTGTCCTTTGTTATTTGCTTCCTGAATGTTTTTAGCTGTGAATCAGCAAAGAGCATATACTCCTTGGTTTCATGACACCATCACTTGTGTTTGGGTGACTTGGAACCCTAATTTCCATAGAGTTGGCAGGGCCAGGAGTCCATAGTTTGCTTTGACTGAGTTTTTAAAGTATTAAAATGTCATCAATTTATGATTAAGGAAGGGAATGGCGACCTAAAGGGATCGCTTTCTTTTGTCTTGCTAGGTGCAGTTTGTTACCTTACTCTCTTATGGCTGACTGATGAGTGGTTTCCTTCTTGATGTCCCAGATCAGAGGCAAGAAAAACTCTTTGTAAGGTTTTTAGTGGGGAATGTAGAGAATATTTTCTCAGTTATTTGCAATATTCTTTTTTTAACAAATGCCATTCCGGAGTTCAAATGTTGGATTGGCTTTAATGAGGCTTCTATTTATAGGAAATAATCTTTTTGACCTGAGTCATTCTTCAGAACTTTTTTGTGTTCTAAAATGTGCCAAATATGAGTGAGCTAAGGTATTTACAAACAGTTTTTGCATAATATTTGACATAAGGAAGTGAGATGGTACATAACCTTTACTTCTCATTTCTGTTCTCTGACACCTTATATCGACTTCCTCCATTTTCCCGCAGCAAACGATTTCCAATTTTAATTTACATGGGATTTTCTATAAGCCATTAAGAAATATGCATGACATGTGCAGAAGGATCGACAGTGTAGTCCTCTGTAAAACAGCAGTAGAGTTTACTTCTCAATTATGAGAGACAAAAATTTTCCCCTCCTCCCATTGCTGTTTTTTTCAACAGGAGAGTCTGTGATTCTTCACTAGGTGACTCAGGAGGCTTCCATATTACAGCAAATACACCGTACACATTATACAAAAAAAATCACTTCCCCAGGATTTATTTGAGTATATGTGCTGCCGAAGCGAGCACACCCCAGGATTTATTTTTAAAAATTTGGGTTATTAGTGCTGGAAGTCATCGGTAAAAACTTACAAAAATATGACATAGGGTTTGGCCTGGCCCTTTTGTCAATCTAGTCCATACATAAGAGAGTCTGGTTAGTTAATTAGAAATTATGCTTTTTGTCCGGTCACGTAAGGAAGTGGAAGAGGAAAAGGCACATTGACAGTTTATTTCTAGTGGTTAAGCCTCAGAGTCTTGAGCTACTTGGGCTCATCTGGGGCCAGGCTAGTGAGACAGTCTGACACTTCAGCTGGGAGGGGAAAACATGTTTGAGCAATGAGAGTTAATACTCTGGGCTCTAGGAGATTTGTAGAGATCTAATTGTGAGGCAGACTTGTGGGTCCTCATGTCTCTGAGAAAGAGATGATGCTACAGGAACCCAGCTAAAACCACATTTCCTGAATTGAGGAACTAGTTTTATCTCAGTTTTCTTGTAATTTCCTTTCAGGCATGTTGTGAGGATTAATCCAGGCTAGTATGTTTGTCCCTTTAGGTAGATGGTGCTGTGTGGATACTTGGTTGTTGTTATTGTGTAGCCTTGATCATGATTTGAACAAGTGCCTTTCTTCTTAAGTGACTGAACAGTAGCATCCTTCACGGGGAGAGAGTAAAGCTGCTTAGTTCGTCGGCTCCATGGCTTTAAAAGGTCACATCAGTCCTAAGGCTGCTGTCAGTGTCCTTGCTTGTCTCTCACCCTGAGTCTGGCTTACAGCCTTACGGCTTTCTTTCTTTTTCTTTTTCTTTTCCTTTCTTTCTCTCTCCCCCAAAGGAGCAAAAAGCAGTATTTGGATACCTGCCTTCTTTAAGGATGGAAAGAAGATAAAGTTGGTTTTCTTTTTTTTAACTTACTCTTTTAATATCTTCTCGGGTGCTATTCTCTCTCTTTTTCTTCTTGCTGCTCTGGATGCAGAGCACACTGTCTGAAGACCAGCCTTGTCTAGAAAGGAAATTTAATTCTGAAAGCTTCAGACAGGGTGAAAAGCCTTTCAGAATTTTTCTTTCGCTGCTGAAGGCTTTACCTGTGGCTACATTACCTTGTAAGTTTTGCGTATTGAGCTCTTAATTCTGTTACCAAATGTGAATTTATAAAATGCTTTGTGTTTCCCATGTGGCCTGTTACCCCAGGCTTCTTGGAGAATGTCTTAGTTCTCTGCAGCTCCCAAACTGCGCACTGGTGCTTCAAGAGGGAACGTTGTATGTCCCTGTGTAAAAAAATTGTTGGAGGCCAAATTCCGAATCTGAATGTTCTATTGTGTCACTTTGTTATGGTTCCAAATGAGAGGCATAAGAAAACCCATAAGTTTTCTTATGGATAGGACCAAGACTGTCATGTAATTGGACTACTGGAGACTTTGCTGCCAGAAGAGGCAGCTCCATTCCTTTGACCCCTGTGTTGGACTGTTGAACTGTTAGCAGCTGCATTTCACTGCATTTTTTGTGTTTGTTTTTTTGTAGGAGCGTGTGCACTGTTGGGTCATGTGCACAGACATCATGACTCTTGGGGTCTTTACCACATCACAATTAATAAACTGCTTTGCACTTTCTGGTTACTTTTTGGTGTGTGTCTACATATAAAATGAGAGCTGTCAGATGCAAGGGGAGGAGGTTGTGGTTTCCAGCAGCAAGCAGCCATTCGTCACTAAGGTGTACCCCTGCAAGAACCTGCATAGATTCAGTGGTCTGCTGGAGCCAGCTCACATAGCAAGAGCTGATGGTTAAATTTTTAGGAATTTTGCAAGCCCATTGTTAAATGATTGGTAGCTTGAAACAGGCCATGGTGGGAGTATTTATGTACGTTGCTGCCTTACAATGCAATCATGTAGCATAGTCCTTGAGAGCAAATATTCAACAACTTTTCTTTTTATTATTTTTTCAAGATTTTATTTATTTATCTGAGAGACAGAGAGAGAACAGGAGCGGGGTGGGGCGGGGGGAGCGGCAGAGGGAGAAGCAGGCTTTCCGCTGAGCAAGGAGCCCATCGAGGGGCTCGATCCCGGGACCCCGGGATCATGACCTGAGCCGAAGGCAGACACTTAACCAACTGAGCCACCCAGGCGCCCCTTCGACAACTTTGTGAATGATACAGGACATGTTCCAAAAAAAACAAATGGCTATGTGTAGGTCAAGCCAAGGTTGAGGGGTGTATACTGAGAACACTTATTTTGAAGTGGCAACTTAAAAGCAAAAGATATCTTGAGGTGAAGAAGCTTTGAATTCTTATCTACGATGACCAAATAGCCCAAGGGGTTCACCAGGGGAATAACAGCTACTTGTGTTCTGTAAATGCTGACATCACATGGTTAGAGGAAATCAACCTGGTAAGTTGGAGGACTGAGCGGGCCTATCTTTGGAGGCAGGGATTGAGTGATTGCCTGGCTACATTGCACCTCTGTGTTGAGAGAAAAAAGCGAGAGTTTGCTTATTTTATTTTATTTTATTTTATTATTTTGAGGTTGCTGTATTTTAAACAGAGCAAAACGTTTTGTGTTCATCTTAAATTTATTGTATTTTGTTTGCATGCAGCTGATTTCTTTCTTGGAGAATGTTTGCCCGATGCCATTCGAGACCCCGCCCTCAGAGAGCTTGTAATCCAGAAGGGGAGATGGCACGAGCCCTGGTCTGGAATCTGAGGCTCTCCTCAGTAAGTTGAATTTATTACCTCTTTTTAGAACAAAAGTATAAATAAAAATTGGGTCATGGGCCAGATGACAGAAACGAGAACCTTGATTTAGAGGTTCCTGTTTGCATCTCTGTAGCCACCTCAGTGCACGCATATGGTTTGTTCTGAGCCTGACCTGTGCGCAGAAGTCTCTGGAGTCAGACTTGGGTACTGCACTTGTGGCAGAACTAGCGTGCTGCTTCCCCTGGGTGCGTCTCATCACGGGTAAGCCGTTGCTTTGCATTTCTTAAGAAGTGATTCAAACTTTTTAGAAGCTGGTTCTGAAGGTTTTAATTTGATGGCCACATTTGCAGGGCTCTCAACTTCTGCAGGAAGGGACTGGCATAAGGTAGGCTGGTGGGTGAGGTTTTCGTTTCTGTAGTGTAGTCACTTCTCAAGATCCTCAGAGAATAAAGGCGTAAGAGGTTTGCTCTTAATGAAAGAGTAGATGATGATGGTGGTGGACTTTAGCTTATAAGTAGCCTGTGTTTTTAGGTAGAGCAGTGACTGACTAGTCCTCCTGACTAGTTGTCCTCCTGACTAGTTGTCCTTCAACTCATGGCAGCACTTGTCCCTCACTGGTTCCTTTCTCCCAATCCTAGACAGGCCAATTTTTTTTTTTTTTTTGAAGATTTATTTATTTATTAGAGAGTATGTGCACTAGCGGGAGGGGCAGAGGGAGAGAGAGTCTCAAGCAGACTCCATGCTGAGCGTGGAGCTGGACGTGGGGCTTGATCTCACGATCCTGAGATCATGACCTGATCTGAAACCAAGAGTCAGAGGCTCAACTGACTGTGACACCCAGACACCCCTAGACAGGTCAATATTTAACCTTAAGAAGTCAGGAACTTAAACCTCTCAAGAGAGCTAGGCTAGTGTCCTTATTCGTCATGCTCTGATCTCATGAAGGCCTACTGTAGGGTGGTTTAGGTGTAACGCTGAGGAGGGAGCAGCAGTAATGACTTCCAAAGTCCCCTTCAGGTTAGAGGGTTGACCAATGTCATTGAGATTCCCTTACAAGGAGCCATGTAACCTCCCTGCCCAATGTAGGATAAGTGGTCTTGGAAGGACCAGAAGTTCGTGCCTTGGGGTGGTTGGATTCATATACCTAAAAACAATGAGAGCCTGGAGGTGTGCAGCCAAGGGTAAACTGAGGGGTCTTAGCATGGAGGGGCGGTGGG